GATGGTGACGTTCAAGCTTCCTATTGGATGACATCGAAACAGCTATTAAAAGGTGACTTTACAAATAAATCGAAGTGTAGTACACATGATTGATAACTCTCCATCACCACAGCGATCCCAACTAAGATCCTTCCCGTGACCAGCGACTCAACTAGTGCTTCAGGAATTCCTCCATTATCCTTCTCTTCCAACGTCACACCTTTCCTATCCCCGGCCTTGCCCGGAACTTAAGCCTGCACGCCCGTCACGCCCCGGCCATCCAGGCTCTAGGGCCGCCGTCCCTCAGCGTCCGGTCCGTCCTCCCTCCCCCCTCCACCGCCAACCTTCAAGCCCCAGCAGCCCAAGCCCGCGTCCGAGGGATATTTGTAAGACGATCGCTTCAATTCAATTTAGATGAGGCGGCGGCGGCGGCGGTGGTGCCCCGCCCTGCTGCCGGCGCGCCTGAATAATATTCAAGAGGTCAACGGTGGGGAGGGAAGGAGGCGTGTATTCCGGAGCGGGCGACCCCGCGCCGCGGCGGGCGCACCTCGTAACTCGGAGACAATTCCACGGCGCAAACCGCCCCCATTAGCAACCCCGGCGGGGCCGACGCGCCGCGTCGCGTCGCGACGCTTCGCGATGCGACGGCCTGGCGGGCGCGGGCCGACGCGACGGGTCGCTGCGCGCGGTATTAGCAATGCATGAAGCGCCCTTAAAAGTGGAGCGCCGCCGCCGCCCGCTGCTCTTTTGTTGCGTGCCCTCTCGCCCTGCCGCGAGAGGGCGCGAGAGAGCCCCGCCCACGGCGCCCGCCGGCTCTCCAGTGTGGGAGGCTGGAGCGAGCGCCGCACAATGCCACGTCTCGGGCAGATTGTGTCCCCTCCGTTCAGGAGTGCCTCCTGCAGGCCCCGGGCTTCTGGGAGGGGATTTTCTTGGATTTGCGGATGGTGATTTAATAATCTTGAAAAGCCTGCGTGGTTCAGTGGTCTGTAATAAATTTCTGATTTCGAAGTGCATACAGTCGATGAGCATGTGCAAATTATGCGGCAATATGTGGACAAACAGCCTTGTTATAACTCAAAAATACCGATGTTAAGAGCGCCGTAATTAAATCATCTATACTTCTAGCTGTTCTGTTGATCGTCTCTTTCGTACTTCATGTATACAATGTCGACGCTGTGTTGGCATTTGTCATCCTTCATCGTCATTCACGTACGCACCCATTGTCATTGCTGTATCAGGAAGTGCCAGACACGACAGGCCGAAGAATAGCGGAATTTCTATCTCACCTCCCTTTCAGTCGGATCACAATTCCATTCGATAAATAGAAAGCTAGATACATCTGCACACTCGCATTGTACATAGTATATCTCTATCAGATACCGCATTACGATGCACCGGGCTTCACAACACATTCATTCATTAAATTTCATTCAAGTTTTGTGTTATCTATTGTACCGTTTCAATAACATTGTCGAAACATGGTAAAGAAAACCAAACAATTGGACATAGGTAGTTCCTTCCCCATGTATATGTTGTAGGCGCCGCACCTAAGCTGAAGCTCTCTGTATATCACCCTACAACGGCTGGGCAAGTGTAGCTGTTTCAATTAGAAAACAACTAATAGTAGTTTGAAATAACTGTAAAGAGAGCTTAAAGAATAATTGTTCAAAAATATTTCGGATTAAATTTTCGTCCAAGTCAAAAAAACTTTAAAGAATTTAAAGGCGGCGAGGATTAACTCTTAGCGTATCGGACTGTTATTCCCAAGTTCGCCGGTTGAAACCCGATCGAAGCCGTGGATTTTTAAGGGGAAAAAATTCCTTCGGAGGGGACGTAAAGCCCACTGTCTCATGCTAGTAGATTTACTTGCATGTAAAAAATCCTCGAGCCTGAATGAAGCCCCTGAGCTAAATTCAAATCGCCAGTTTCGTCGTCCGAGTGATACCTCCTTTCTCCGCTAGTTGGCGAAAGGAGCGTAGCAAGATTTGCGTAGTCAGACGGAAGAGCGGGCCGTAAAATAAGACATCAATTCAATTCAAAAGGAGGCGTAGGTAAATGGATCATGTCTGCTAAAATTAAATTATTCTATTTCAGGTTAAATTAAAGACTTTAGTTTTTCTGAACAAAAAATGTTTGTTTGATATATTCCGATTTCATTTCATAAATGTACTACATGCGAGGAAACCTTTAAAAGAAGACTTAATTTGACAAGAACTAATACTAACTAAAATATTTAGTAATATTAGACATGAAAATCAGTACTATGTTCGTGTATGACGCCGAAACGCACAGCTGGTGCAGAGTTCGCATCAGTGTACACTAGTGTGCACACTGCATATGATAATTCGAAACGTTCAGAGAAGTCTTTAACGGAATGGAAATGAACATGTATTCCAAATATTTTACATGACTGATTATGCCAATATCATTCCAATGAATTGCCCATAATTTCCATAATACAAGTCCATAATTTCCAATGAATTTGTAGAACAAATTAAGTCTAGTTCATAAACTACTGGCTATTTTGGAAAATCTGCTTACATTCAGTGGAAATAGTGATAAATACATTTATTTGTATACAAACATCGTATTTACTCTGCGAAATCGCAAAATAAACAGTTGCATGTATTTATTCCGTTTATTTTAACCAGCAAGAGATGCTTCGCTTTTGCCTGGTGTGCAAGCGCAAGTTTCACAAGTTACCATACACATGTTCAGTGTCCTAAAATCAAACAAATTAAGTAAATGAATAAATAAGTAGAAAGTTGTTTCTCGTCATATGCACAAACCGCTCACAAAGTAATTCGTAACTAGAGATCAGAAACAAAATATCCCTGGGCAATTTTGTATCTTAACGGTTTCATCTATAAATAATGTTTCCCTGGCGTCATACACCTCACACCTTTGTTTAAAAAGGGAACAACGCATTCGGGTTTCCGAAAATTTCTCGCTGAGAAATAGCAGTGAGTTAAATGTACGATAATATAGCCGCCTTAGATTGCTTGCTGCACACAAAACATATTCCTCAGAGCGTTAAACTCTAACTTCGAGCAGTTTAGTACGCTTAATATCGTTTTATCCTTTTTGAATTATTTTATACACTTATTCCCTAAAGTAAAACTTAACGAAACTTCGATCAGTGATATAATAAGAGTTATTTTAATACAAGTGATTCAATCATACATGGCCCATTGTTAACAATAATAATAAATTTCGTATTATGAATAATATTAGAAATAATGGCCATTGCATTAGTTAACGCGAGGCCAATACAATATGTTACCTTTCGCTGGACGCACAATAAAATGTAAACAAAAATCATCGTTTTTTTGAGTTTTTGTAAAATGGATAAAATGTTGAACGATATTCATTTGTAACATCTGATTACACACTCAATTGAATATCCAACAGCATAACGTCCTCATTTGATAGTTCTCTATTCCCCTACTACAATAAGATATCTTACGATACTTGTGTTGCAAATACCTAATAACTACAGTTTCATTAAAAGGGGGCCGCGATATTTAAATATTTTAATACTTGCCGATGGCGGTCTTCACCACTATCTCAGAAGTGGTTCGTATTATTTATAAATCAAATGTAATAATAACGTATGTATTTGGCATTTTGGGACGATTTTTCGAATTTGCCGGCCCAATCGTGTTCCCCGTTTGTGGGCGTAGTTTAAGTCCCACGCATGGGGGTAAGGAAGATATGTGGCAAACATGACGTATTCTCTTCACCGTAGCTAGAAAACTTTCTTCACCTCTCACTTACAGAAACTGAGATGATTTCAAGTGAAAGCTAAAACTATTTTTGCCCCGGCCCGGTATCGAACTCTGGATTGCACTATGGCAGCTAGTACGCTGCCCATGAGCCATCGTAAGAGTTATAAGCGTAATATAATAATAATAACAATAATAATAACAATAATAATAATTAATAATTAATTTCTTTATCGGCAAGCAAAAGGCGAGCTTCAGAACATTGATTTACAGACAACCTTAGTATCAATAATAATAATTAACTATAAAAAATCCTGATAATAAAACTTAGAATTAATTTACTAATATTGATTAATTATGCAATTCAATTCAATAAGAACTTCATATCTATCACATCCAAATTATTTTAAACAAAGCAAAACATCAATCATTTATCTCTTAACACCAGTAGATGTTATCAATAATAATCGATAGTCGGGCAGATGACGCTGCCAAGTAAACCTTTTTTTAAAATTAATATTTAATTGCGGAATATTCTGTTCTGTAACTTACACTAGTCTTCCCGCAGAACACCGCAACAAGTCGCGCCTCTAAAGAGATCAGCGCCAACAAACAAGTACTCCGCACCGCAAATATACAAGCCTTCGTTTGCCTGCCCTCAGGCCACAGAATAAAAATCTTTGCATTTGGCCATGTGTTTTAAGAAAATTAATTTTCTTTCTCGTGAAGCGTTGAATTAAGTATTACGCATGTCATGTTTGTTGGTAGCTGTTCTCGGTTAATTCGTATTTCTAAGTGTAAAAACATGTAGTTTATTACTGTAACGCGTGTTACCTAAAATGCCTGAGACAATATTAATCATTACAGAGACGATAAAATGTATGATGATGAAAAGAAATAACTTGTATAAATAGTATATCATTGTGGAGATGCTCACATCACCAATAATGATTTGCAACTCGGCCTCTTTCGAAAATATTTAGCACAACAGAAATTACCTCTATTGAAAGAATAAACAAGTTGTCTTTAACATTAAAGCAAATAATAAAGTGCTTCTGAAAAGTCACTCATTGTCATGAGATTTCCTTACGCCACATTAACACATTTCAATTTTGTTAAATGATTTTTTTATTTTTTATTATTGTTCTTCACTTTTTTATTATTGTTCATTTGTATTTATTTTACTTTTATTATTTTCTGAACTCTTGAATTTTTTTTAATATTTTGGTTATTTTACAGAATGTTTTTCTCATGAACCAGACACTACAGGCATTTTGTCTTGTGCTCTTGCAACAGGTTTTCAAAACACCTGGTTTCGTGGATTAACAATTCTACCCATGTAATCTTCCGTCAGTGAAAGACCGACTATGAACGACTCTTCAAGAAGCCAGTTTTGCTTGACATGCAATCACATACTCGTACTACGGAAGAGAAATGAGCTCAGCTAAAAGTGCAATATTAACTACTACGTAATGCTGTATTGTCGTGTTTTTCTGTTGTTTTACATATTACGTGATCTTCAAGCAATACTTAATGTATTTTGCTATTTATCATAATAATCAAATAAAGAAATAATTATTTTATATTATACATTTATTATTACGTTGTAATTACGTCCTAAATTCCGAACATATTATTTCTTAATATCATAACAAATTTCAGCGTGACCCTTATTTTGCGATCTTAAACTACACAGACCAATATACACGTAGTTTAATTTCCATAGTCTTTGTTCATGTTGTAGGAAACCCGTGTGCGTTGCGTTAATACGCTTTACCTTGGTCGGACCGACATCGCGCCAAAAGTCAATACCTCGACTACCTTACGGTTTCCTAGTGTGCACGAGAGCGCGGTTGGCGATGGAAGGGGCTGGGCCGAGCATGGCGGGGCGGGGTGGGTCAAGGCGGGAAAGAATGAGTCATTGCAGGGCAGAGTGGGGTAGGGCAGGGCAGGGCGGAGAGTGACATGGCTGGAAGGATCGGGACATGACGGGGAGTAGCGGAGAATTGAGGTAGGAAAGGGCTGGGGAAGAATGGGATCGGGACGAGTGAACAGTTGAATGGTGGGACGGGGCGGGGAATGACAGAGTGGAGCAGGGAATGGTGACTAAGAGCGAGGCTTTGCGGGGAAGAGCGGGGAATCGAGGGCAGGAACGAAACATTGCAAAACAAATGATGCAGGGCAGGGTGGAGCAGAGCATGTTCGAACGGAACGGGGAATGGCAGAGCGGAGTAAGAAATGGTGGAGAGGGGAGAGACGTGAGATCGCGTCATTACGGAGTGGAGTGTGGCATCGCAGGACGGTGTGAGGCATGACATGGCGGGGCGGGACAGACCGGGCCTTACGGAGAGGGGCAATGCTAGGCATGGCGGGGCGGGAAGGACATTAGAGAGCGGGGTGGGGTGACGTAGGACGATGCGAGTCTTGGCGGGGCGAGGAGGGCGGAAATCGGGGCAAGGTGGGGAAAGGGCTGAAGTCGAGGTATGGCGGGGCAACGCGGGGCGGGGGCGGAGTGGGGGCGGGGCGGGAGCGGAGCGGAACCGGGGCGGAACGGGGCAGAGCGGGCGAAACGGGGCGGGCGGAGTGGGGCGGGGCGAAGCGGGGCGGGCGCAGCGGGGCGCGACGGAGCGGAGCGAAGCGGGGCGAAGCGGGGCAAGAGCGAGCGAAAGCGGAGCGGGGCGGAGTGGGGCGGAGCGGGCCGAAGCGCGGCGAAGCGGGTGAAAACGGGGCGAAGCGGGTGAAGCGAGGCGAAGCGGGGCGACGCAGGGAGGGGCGGCGCGGACTGGGGGTGCGGCGCCGCGGAAGGCGTTTGGCAGCGGCCCGCGGCGGCGAGACGGCCGTCTCAGGGGGCGGTCACTGATCCGCGGCGCCTGAGCTGCGTGCGAACACGCGAGCCGCGCCGGCGGCTGCGGCTGGCGGCGGCGGCGGCGCGGCGGCAGGCGGTCGGCCGTCGGACGGCGGCGGCGCGCTGCAGTTGCGCCGGCGTTCCGCAGCCCCTTGCGTCCCCCGGGGCCGTTTACCGCAGGCGTTCCCCGCCTCGCCACGCCACGCCCCTCGCTCCCCTCCCCTCCCCCTCTTGCTCGCGCTGCTCTCGCCGTCATCGCGTCTGGTCGCCTCCGCGAAGGGGGATCGGGTGGGTGTTGGATGGCAATGTGCGAATACTCGGAGGGAGCTCCGTCCTTTGCGCTGTTTCCATTTAAGGCACGACGACGGCTCGCACAGTGATCTAACAAATGTAGTATGTTAGGACGTAAAAGTGTGAATTTATTTGAAAGTATGCTTTGAAACTTGTTGAAACAGTAAACACAAAGAACGTGCTGTCGTAATTGCTAAATGTGTTGGTTACAAAGTATACACCTTACGGGCATATCATATTCTTCAGGAGATTTCAAAATCAGTTAATATACTTTTAGGCCATACAAATGATGTAGGGGTGTGTTGTCCAGGGCATTTGTGGTATCCAGGGCATTTAGATGTGTAGGTTTACCTTTTAGGGTATTTAAAAGAGTCGTAGATAATTATTATTTGCCAATAGGCATCTTGTGAGAAATCTCTAATTGCGAAGTTGTAACATGTGTAACATTTTCCCCTGATTAGTAGGCAACACATTCTACACTGTTGATTAGCACGTAGCATTCTAATGTAAATCTGTTTTCAAACAGCAGTATATGTATAAAGCAGATATGGGGCAGTTGTACCTTCGTTATATGGGATTTCTCACCGCACGTTCATTATCAAATAGAGACCCTCTTCGACCCCACTACACGCCCTATAAGTTTATAACAATTTCTCTGAGACACTGACATAAAATCACTGTGAAGAAACTGTGAGAGATCCATGGCACTTACGAGTCATTAATTTCGTTGTTTATTTGGTTCTTATTTCATTGCACTAAGACTTCATGATCCAATGAAAAGTAATTCAGTGGTTGAATCGTCGTTGTCTCGTAGTAATGAGTTTTCACCTTTGCTATTGGATTATCAAAACAATATTTGACGTTTAAAAAACACAATGAACTGAGACAGCTGCAATTTAGTTATAGAGTTGAAGAGTTGACGTAATGTTTCTTCGAGTGGAAAAGTAATATTTTTCTTTCTAATTTTCAGGTATGTGTTTCCTGAATAAACGTTGCCCGTCCCGAAATTCTTCATATAAAATGGTAAGATTTGGAATTTCCTTAAAATTTTCATTTGAAACAAAAGCGTGTATAGACGAGTGTTGTCTAAGTGATTGCATGATTTGGAAACAGAACAATTCAATATTAGTTGTTGCAATAGTATTCAAATTCTTAACAAAGTTGCTATTCTTAACAAATCGGACACAGACTACCGTGACATCTACAAAAATATCTTAAAAGATTTGATCCTATTAAATAGATTTCATTTATCCAAATTGCGTAATTCGAATAATCAAAATATCAATTGTTAAATAGCTTTTTCTGCTTCAGTCTACTTGTTAGTGTGCAACCTCGAATCGCGAATAATGTACAGTGACTGAAGAATAGATAACTCTTTTTTCATAAGCCACTAAAATAAAACCGGAACTCATTTTCTGAAATAAGCCCATGGTTCGTAAATGTTGTTTTTAAATGTAACGATTTCGATTTAATTTTTAGTTACATGTTAATAGTAATATCATTGAGACTTAATATATTCACAACGAATCGAGAAAATAAGTTTCCTGTAGCAGGGGGTAATGTAGGCTGTATGGCATTTCGCGAACACGCGAATGCATCTCTCGCCTTTGTAACGTGCTCTTTTGCTATACTAGCAATGTACTTGTGGCGTCTGGTGGATTGAAAAGTAGGAGTGGCGGTATGTGATTTCGAAAATTCATAAATATTTTCTCTCTGCAAAATATTTCTTAAACGAATGAGAAATATAGAATTTAGAGTTTGACCGATTAGAAAGTAATGGATTTAAAGCCTTGTGTAAAGAACTTTTATTTAATAAATATCCCAATTTTGTACGAAAATATCGAATTTTTAAAAATATTTTTAACTGGCAAAACTGTAATTTATGTAAAAAGGGCCTACTCAACCTTAAGTAGTTGCTGTATTTTGCAAATATCCATGATTATCTAACCCCGAATTCACTAAAACGGCGACAAAACAATCATAAGGCTGCAGAAAATTATGTTGTATATTTTCAGTACACTCTCTTACAGCTTGTCCACGGAAATACACAGAGAAAGCCCCTCAAATCGCATCGGAAGTGATGACGTGCCTGTGCGTCGTGGCGGGCTGCTCGCGGTCGGTGACGGCGGAGGGGGGCAAGTGGCCATGGCGATACCCCAGGCATATTCCGGGATGCGATGCCCTAGATCCAGACCTGATCTAGGCAGTAGCAGACGTCTATTTATTAACTAGCTGTTGCCGAAAATATGCCACAGCCAGTGATTCAACCAAGCACTTCCCGTTGTGCACTCTGATATCTATCATTTACAACATTACCATACTTTTAACTAGGTAAATAAGCCCGCTATGGCCTACAATCTGTGAAGAAATGAAACAGGTCCCAACATTCATGAACCCCAGCGCGTTGTACGAATTTGGGACAATTTAAAGTTTTATTCTCATCATAATCATTGAAATGGTATCTTAATCACCCCTGACCTGGGAACTTCACAATCAGTACCAAACCTAAGTCGCGTAGCTCTTTACATATTAAGATAGATATATTCTTTAAACTAATTATAGCCACAAAGAAACGAGGTTTTATTTCCCTTCATTGATTCATTTACGTTAATAGTTTACCTTCTCATCTAAGTAGAAAAGAAAAAGTATTCAAATATAAAATAGGCATTGACGCAAAAACACATTTTGGGAGCCTTCGATACCAAAAAAGGTAATTTTACTTGATCGTATTCTATTACGTAGTTTAGGGAAGGTACTATAACATATCGACACAAAAACGTATTTTTAAGGTTATACCAATATGGCATACTTTCTCTCTCCTGTTCAAACTATTTTAAATTCTTGTACACGTAGTATTGTCAAAGCGCATGTGATGATTGTCCTTCATTCCAAAAAAGTTATTTTTTCAAAATTTATCTACCAACTTCTTAAAAAAACCTTTCCGGTGAACATCCGGTTTCTAGTGATAATATTTAAGAATAAGTTTATTTCAGAATGTCGAGACCTGTTGAGGCGATGTAATTGCTTATCTCAATTTAAATGGATGTACCAGTGTGGTCATGACAATTTTTGTCTGAAACTGAATATTATTTCTATAGAAAGAGATAGATATCGTTTACCTGAATGCTTTTTTATTCTGTAATTCTTTTCGTCAGTATGGCAGCAATGCTCTTTATCTGCATCACTGCAGCGTGATTGTGTTCCCGGAGTAGCTCGATTGACGTCACATCGACTTTTTGTGCGTCACGGAACGGGGTTGGCTCCGGTAAATCCTGATATACAACCTCTTCGTGCGTTTCGTCGCAGACGAGTTTCCTTTGTTTGAATCACAGTGACGTCGAAATTTCATAAAAAGGACGTTCACATACAAATCCCGGCCCAACTGCTTAACGCTAGAGGGTCGCCGCCAGTACAATGAGCTTCGCT